ATTTTCTTTCGTTGTACTGAGTTGTCCTATTAATATAAAGTAACTAACGAAATGAAAAGTCTTTAGGCTTTCCGTGGAGAATTACTTGTCTGTAAGGAAGTTCTCTTTGGGCATCATCCTTTGAACCTGGAATGTGTATCCTGAACTAAGTGGGAAGTTTCCCTTTATAGATTTCATAAAGTGTTGACCGGGGAGGTAAATGTGTGAAATTGTATTACTGTTCTCCTTATTCAAAACTCCTAGAACTTGCTTTATTCTCACAACAAAATCCTAATGCTTGCCATGTTAGGGCACACAGAACATTGGACAGTTTCTGAGGTTGGCAAAGATTTGCATTTGTGGTTAGAACCATCCAGCATGACTCCGTGGGAACACCCAGTGTCCCCATGTCTCTGTGAGGGCTTGGCAGCATGCTCTAGAGTTCCTCTGGTAAGTGTCATGCTGCACTTGGCAGCTCTTCCCCATAGTATGGGCAGAATAAAGGAGTGAGTCACTTATCTTTGGGCTCGTAGTGAGTCTTAAAGTGAGGTCAACTTGGGAATGACAGTTGTTGGAAGAATTAGAGAATTGTGAATAATCTTTGAATTGAAAATGATCTCCTTTATAACTTAGAAGAGTTGGAGGAAGATCTTACAGTTCTGCCAATAAAATATTCTTTACTATTAGTGACTCAGTTTAAAACATTTTTTTGCCATGTTATTTACCTGAATTAATGTCTCTCCATTGCCAATCAAACCTGATTGCCTTCTATTAATTAGCTCCTGATTTAATTAATAAGACATGTAATAAAGAAATCTTCAATGTTTTCCTGTAAACAGCTCTAATTTATTGATTCAATTTGAATTTTGTAATTATTCTAGAGAACTCAAATCAGTGCCTGGAATGTATTTTTTGAATCTTTAGTAAAATAGTTTAAACCTAAAAGATAATTATTAGATACATTGTTCATTTTATTGTTCATACATTAATAACTGTCTTCTTTGAATAGTTTTAAAAACTGCCATTTAAGTAAAAAGGTAACAGACTTTTAAGCATTTTAGAATTTTAAGTATTTTGCAATATATGCACCAATTTATACTAAAAGGTTTGTGATGTTATTTTTTCCAAAGTTGAGATTTTTTTTCCTCCAGAAGTGAAGCTACTGATTTAATTCCTACTAGGTATTTGAATTCAGGGATTCAGTAATTGGTGATTGTCTAGACATGAAGAAAAAAACTAATTAAGAAAGCTACACTGACTAGGGTTAAAGAGCAATTTGATAATCAATAGGATTGTTAATGGGAAACCAATGAAGCAGTGGGGAGGGAAGGCAGGTGCTGATTAGTGGCCTGGGGTCAGATTATTAAACAATAGTAAGGCGTTGGAAACATGTCTGTTGGGTGGAGAAAGTTTAAAAAGCATTTTACAAATTTAAAAAACCCTTTTTTTGATTTTGTTTTTGGACCACATCTGGCATTGCTCAGAGTATACTTCTGGGTCTGCACTCAGGAATCACTCCTGGCAGGGCTCAGGGGGCAACATGGAGTTCTGGGAATTTTTTGGGTCAGCTGTGTGCAAGGCAAGCACCCTACCTACTGTATTGTCTCTGTCACTGTCACTGTCACTGTCCAACTTTTGTTCATCGATTTGGTTGAGTGGGCCCAGTAACATCTCCTTTGTGAGACTTGTTGTTACTGTGTTTGGCATATAGAATACGTCATGGGTAGCTTGCCAGGCTTTGCCTTGCGTGTAAGATACTCTCGGTAGCTTGCCGGGCTTTCCGAGAGGGGTGGAGGAATAGAACCCAGCTCGTCCTGGCTGGCTGCACACAAGGCAAACGCCCTACGGCAGTGCTATTGCTCCAGCCCATTGTCTCTGTAGGCTTCCTAAAATTTTATTAAGGTATGTATAGTGTACAGATTATAGAGTTTTGGGTAATAAAGTGAATAAAATATGCATATATATGTGTATACATATATATATATCTCATTCTGTACATGAAAGGGATAAGGAGTAACATCATTTAACTTCAACTGAAGAAAGCATGTTAATTTGGGGGGGTGGCGAGGGTCACATCCGGTGGTGCTCAGGGCCTACTCCTGGCTCTGTGCTCAGGAATTATTCCTGGCAGAGCTTGGGGACCATATGGGGTTGAACATGGGTTGGCCATGTGCAAGACAAATGCCATACTTTCTGTACTATCTCTATCTCTCCATACCCCAAAGTATAAAATTTTAAGGAAATGAAGTCACGGTCACAGTCACGGTCCTCCCATTGTTCATTGATTTTCTTGAGCGGGCCCAGTAACGTCTCCATTGTGAGACTTGTTACTGTGTTTGGCATATCGAATACATCACAGGTAACTTGCCAGGCTCTCTGCCGTGTGGGCGAGATACTCTCGGTAGCTTGCTGGGCTCTCCGAGAGGGGCGGAGGAATTGAATTCGGGTCGGCCATGTTGACTGTGTGTAAGGCAAACGCCCTACCGCTGTACTATCCCTCCAGCCCCAAAGGAAATGAAAAAAACTCTATATATACAGTCATCAAATACAAGGAAACTGCACCTTTAATTTGAGCAAGGAGAAAAAATATTTAAGCCTAATACAAAAGACACTAAATGCTTTATAAAAATTTGATGTCTCTGAAGTTTTTGAAAATAATGTTTATAATTTATTCTTGAATTAATTTGAAGGAATGGAGGAAATGTCAGTCTATTAACATTATTAATATTAATTCAATAAAATATTTTATGATATCACTCTATGCCTGGCGGTTTTACACATTGGACACATAATAGTTAACAAAACAGAAAAGTTTTTTTTTTCTTGGAATTTATAGTATAGTATAAATTTTAAGGACATCTTCATTTTCACATGATGTAGTAATTAAAATCTCAATTTCTTTTTTGTACTTATCATGATTATAATAAGATAATACCAAGGGGTTTAATTTATGCAGAAGGATGTTCAGAACCAGAATACCAGGAATGCATATCTTATTCTTTGATGTAGTTATCACAAAAATATGTTCATATTTTTTCATCAAAAATTGATGTATATTATCCTACCAGAATCTCAGAGTTTCACTGTTTAATTTTTTTAGTTATATTCTTAAAACACATTCAAAGTCCTTATGTGACACAATTCATTTCCTGTGACATATATATGAATAACCTAACGGGAAAGGAGAGAGAATGTGTGTGAGTGTATGTGTGTGTGTGTATGTGTGTGTGTGTGTGTGTGTGTGTGTTGGTGAGGGGAAATATTTGTAAATGAGGGGAATATTCCAAGCAGTTCCTGGAATCAGTTACTACCTCCTCGGGGAGCCAGTGATGAGCTCAACTGGGCTGAAAAGAATCTGTGCAGATGTCAGCACTGACTACTTCCCAGCCACAAGCTCTGCCAAAGCTGTAAAGGACGAAGAGTACAAGGTGGTCTCCAGATGAACTCTATGTACATATTAATTTTTTTGCCTGCACCTGTGTAGCTGGTGCACAGAGCACAAAAGAAGCAGATTTATTCTCCCAGTTGAAGCACAAGGGAAAGTAAACCTAATGCTTAATATTTAGGAGATAGCACATTATAGTTTTAGAATCGGGTGCTCTTATTTAATTCTTATATCCAGTAATGCATCTTGGCAATCACTTCAGTAAGGAATGCTATTAGGTTGATTGGGATACATTAAATTCTTTGGCTTTTGGAGATGTGTGTCTGTGACAGTTTTTTTTTAAAGCAAAAATGAATGAATTTGGATGTAACTTTTAAAAAAGAAACATTTAAATTTGTTATTTGAGATTTAGACACTGAATTCTGTGGGTTACCAATTCTTTGCTCATTCCTTAAATCTAAGTAGATGTTTAATTATATTTTCAATTGTATTAGGAAATCATATTATTCCTGTCAGATTGACAAAACCTAGGATTGGTATCAGTGTCATTAAAGTGGGGAGCAAAATCTCTTGTCATTTGCTAGGAGAAGTGTGAATTGGATCGATCTCTATATAGCATAATGGCAGAGTAGGTGGGTGGTATGCTCCCAAGCAGTGTTCAGGAAATTGGTGGTTGAATGTGAGGGCCTGAGGATGCAGTGCTGCTTTAGGTCCTACAGTGGAGAATTACCTGGTGATGCTCAGGGAACCATGTGGTGCCAGGGATTGAACTGGGATTGGCTGTATCCAGGGCATGTGCCTTAGTTCTTCTACTGTCTCTCCACTCCTTCATTTATATTTTCATGTGTATTTGTTTTACTTATTATGATTAATAAAATTTTGCATCTAGAACTAGAAAAAGTAGAAAGTAGAGCATCCAAGAAGACCTGTATAGAGTCATGTCTGTTGACAGAATTGATTGGATAGAAAGTTATCTGCCTGGAGCAATCTTACCTCTAATTAGAGCTGATACACATTTAGAATGTGTCTGGAAGAACCATCTGTTTTGGATAGGTCTTGTGTAATCTTGTAATAGTAAAATTTCATGACTTATTTTTATGATATACTGCATTATGAGATACACCCAAATGAGATGTTAAAAACAAATGACATGAAGAGAGAGAAAATGAATGAAGACTGAGAATCAACTTGTTGCCCTTGGGGATGAATGATCTCAGTTTAAGACTGAATATGAAGTCAGTTCAACAAAAGAAACAAAGAAGGAACCCTTGAAGAATCAAAGGGAGACAGTTATTTTGACTGCTTGATATTTAAACTCAGGATGAGTGGTTAAGAATGGTGATTTTGTTAAGCACTAGTTTTATTTTGGAATAGAAAAACAATGAATCACAGAAAACTTCTGTTAAATCTTGGGTCTTGCAAATGTGAGCAGTTAGCATGTGAATATTTAAAGCATGACTATTTGTGATGATCTAGAATTCCAAGCCTGGGTGAAATTGATCTTGTAGGTCAGTTGTGTCACTGACATATCAATACAAAAATACATAAAATATAAATTGCAAGAAAGACAGTTTGGACAATCATGGAAACATATTTTAACTGCTTTACTTTTAATCTTTTCTTTCATTTCTCCCAGGGTAAATGGGAAGTTGGTAGCCTTGAAAGTGATCAGACTGCAAGAAGAAGAAGGCACACCTTTTACAGCTATCAGGGAAGGTAGGCATTTTTCTCTGTTGTTTTTACTTCTAAGTTTGTGTGATTCCCAAAGCTTTTTACATATTATACACCTCTGAATTGCTTAGTTTTAAAATTACATGATTTTTTGGAATGCAAAAACTGAAATACAAAAACCAGTGTCTCTTGCAGTTATATTTAATCATGTATGAAAATAAAAACATCATGTTATATGCTTAGTATGGGGAAAAATTGCTGTGTTTTGATGGTAAAGCTGTCACTAGTGATTAAGGCATTTGTACGTAGAATTTCTAAGGTGAATGTTAATGTATCATGACTCTATATTCATGTCTTTTAAGGAAAAGGCTTTAAAAGGGGAGAGGATGTTTATTAGTCATTTGTATTATTTTTCTCTCTTTTACTAAGTTTTCTATTAGCGTCTCATAATTTATAAATAGTTTTATAAAAATTACAATGTAGATAATTTTTTCAATCTACAATCTGATATTTTTATATATGAATTGAAAATTATGCATGGGATTAGGAGCATTTTAGGCTTTAAATAATATTAACAGAATGTCAACTTTTTAGATTTTTAATTTTGTTAATTGAAGCATCATAGTTTACCATAGTAGTAAAGTGGTTATATTCTTGTCGCTCTTCGAACCGACATTTCAAAATCCCTCCACCATTTTCCCAGGGTCCATTTACCTTCATCACTTCAGCTCCCAGTTTTGATCATTCCTCAGGATTTGTTTTCTTTGGGGATTATCTAATTTATTTCTTTGCTTCTTTACAGTCTATATATGAATGAGTTCATCAGGTATTTACCCTTTTTCTTTCTGAGTCACTTAGTCAGTCTGGGAACCCTCCAATTCCATCCAGATTGCAGTGAACTGCGAAATTTCATCTTTTTCCTAGCTAAAGAGTATTCTCTTGTCTGTGTAGACTACCTTAATCTACTCACCTGTTGGGTACTCATGAGTTGTTTCTAGATCCTAGCTATTGTAAATAATGTAGCAATTAAGTAAGTGAATATATGTATCCTAGGATCAGTGTTTTTGTGTTCTTGAGACAGATTCCCAGAAGTGGGATTCAGGGTTGCATGAAAGTTTTATTTGTGATGTGTTGAGGGGTCTCCAAACCATCTTTCAGAGAGCCTGAGCTATGCATCAACAAAGGATTAGTTTGTTTTTCACCACATTCCCACCAGCACTTACTGTCTCCAGTCTTTTTCATAGAGACCACTCTTGCTGATGTGAGGTGATGTCTCAACTGTTGTTTTCGTTCGCATTTCTATGATCATTAGTGATCAGGAGCATTTTATCATGTACCTCTTGGCCAGATTTATAGCATTTGAGAAAATGTCTGTTCCTCTCCACTCCCATAGTTTGATTTTTTTTCTTCTGAGTTTTGAGAGTGCTTTATGTATCTTGAATATCAGCCTCTTATCCAATGTGTGGTGTCCAAACAAAAAATATAAGCTCTCAAGGATTTATATTTTTGGGGATGGGGAATGATTTGGACTACATCTGACTGTACTCAGTGCTTCCTCCAGGCTCTGTGCCCAGTGATCGCTACTGCTGTGTTTAGGGATCAAATGCAGTGCCAGGGAGCGAACTGTGGTCAGTTGCATGCAAGGCAACCACCTTAACCCTTTTACAATCTCTCTCGCCCAAACATTCAAGTTTTATGAAACAAAAGTCCTTCCATCGTTTGGTACATTACTTCTGAACAGTAAAGGTTGTTATTTATTGTTTAATTCTTTGTTCTAATAAAGAATAAAATACTTTTTATTTTTTATTCTTTGTTATTTTTTGTTATAACAAAGAATAAAATACTCAATATTGTGGGAACTCGATATTTTAACTTTAGTGCTTTGCATATTAATAGCTGTACTTCTTTTACATTTTTAAAAGTTCAAATTATATTAACATGATACTTCAGTTTATTTTAGCAGTGAAGGGATCATAGCTACTTATTCCACAGATGTAGCGCTGTCCTCCCATTGTTCATCAATTTGCTCAAGCGGGCACCAGTAACATCTCACAACAAATTGTGAGACTTGTTACTGTTTTTGTACAATGAGATAAATATCTGTGATTTTCTGCAATAGTATATTTAAGATAGATATAGTCTGTCACTGGGTTCATTTATTTCCCACCATTATCATTATGATTTACACTTAATTTTGGAGTCGATTTTCTGTTTGTACTTTCTCACCTCTCTCCTGTTTTTCGTATCAGTAAGTTTCTTTCTATTATTTCTGTGTAGCTGAAGGTGTTCTTATAACATTCATTTAATGACCTATAGGTCAAATAGTCTGCTTTCTGTTTTATTTTACCCAATAATTAACATTGCATATGGCTGGACCTTTTCTTTTGTGATGCCAGATTTTCAAAGTAGGTAGTCTTTTTCTTTCTCTTATGTTGTCTCCTCGAAATTTTAGGAACTTTTTGGGGTCTTCTTTTCTCTAATCTATTCTCAAGTAATTTTATTTATTTACTGAGTTTAAATAGTAACTTTAAGCTACTCATCTACATATTCCCATGTGTAGCTAATTTCTTTGTCCATTATCATGCATTCATGTGCTCAACTGATAGCTCTTTAATGACATGATTTATAAAAAGGACAATATATCACTATTCTGATAATCTGTCATCTTTATCCTGAGAATGTAATAGTTTTAATCTTTAAAAGGCAATTATTGCACACTAATCACTGCCAGTTTACCACATTTATCTGGAACTGATGGTCCCCTCAACATAACTCCCATCTAACCCCCCCCCCCATTTAGTAATCATACCCAGTGAAAAGTATCCTTAAACTTAGCTCCTGATGAGTCTACTATCCTCTAAAAGTTAATCTGTCGATTTTCTCTTTCTTAAAAGTCTCAGAATTATATTTCTTTAGATCTAATCTGTACTTCTGTGATAGATTTTTCATTGTTTCTTTTTTAATTAAATTTTTCATTTCTGTTAACTTTCTGTTATACTACTTATGCTACGTAGCACTGTCTGTAGCCCTGTCCTCCCATTGTTCATCGATTTGCTCGAGCAGGCACCAGTAATATTTCCAATTTTGGACTGTGGTTACCATTCTTGGTATATCCAATACGTCACGGGAAGCTTGCTAGGCTTTGCCGTGCAGGCGAGATACTCTCGGTAGCTTGCCAGCCTTGCTCTCTGAGAGGGATGGAGGAATCGAACCCGGGTTGGTCACATACAAGGCAAAAGCCCTACCCACTGAATATTTTAAATAATATGTCACTCTATAAAAGCCTTATTTTCAATCATCATTTGTTTTTTCTCTAAGTAAGGTTTTCTGTGCCATAAGGTTTCCTCTGTTGGGGATGGTATCAGTGTATCACTATATCACGGTCATCCTGTTGTTTGTCGATTTACTTGAGCAGGCACCTGTAATGTCTATATTCCTCCCAGTCCTGAGATTTTAGCAGTGTCTCCTTACTCATCTTTCTCAATGATTGGAGACTCTTTCAGGGTCAGGGGAATGAGACCTGTTATTGTAACTATTTTTGGCATATCAAATATGCCACAGGGAGCTTGTCAGGCTTGGCGTGTGTGGGTGGGTTACTCTCGGTAGCTTGCCGGGCTCTCCGAGAGGCATATGTATTATATATATATGTATATATATATATGATTTGTTCCCTACTATCTGAACCCTATGAAATATGGTGTGGTAATTATGGAAAATTGGTAGGAAGTATCTTATGATAGAGGCTGTGTGGTCCAGAAAGCGGCCTGGAGCCTGGTGGCTGTTGGGTAGAGAAGGTTAGCTACTGGGGTTGGGTCCCTTGGCGTGGGGAGGGCTCTACCTGCCCCACTCTGGGACTCCCCGAGTGAAAACAGCCTGGCACCGAGTCCAGTGGCATGCTTATGGGGACTCATTTTATGCTCCCTTCCGGGAGAAGCAGCCTTGAACTCTGGAGGGTGGCCGATGAGGAGATATCTGGCGCTGGCAGGGAGTGGCTTATGGTGTGACCCCTGGGTCTCCAGAGACAGGGGATGCAGGCAGAGGATCTCTGTTCTCGGGTCTTGTTGAGCCCAGAGTCCGAGGTCACAAAGTTCCGCATTACTTGGGCTCCATGGGACTTCATTCATGAGTGAGGCCTGACTGTCCGGAAAGTGGCCTGGAGCGTGGCGGTGGTTGGGTAGTGGAGGTCAGCTGCTGGGGCTGGGTCTCTGGTTATTTTGTGCCACTGGACTCCATGCCAGGCTGTTTTTACTCGGGGCACCCTCTAGTCCAGATGCCCTCTACTGCAGAAAAGCTTCTTCTCATCATATCAAAAATAGCAGTTGATCATCGCATTACCCTTTATTGCTTTTCTTGTCACCACCCTGTTTATTTCCTTGATAGTTCTTATTGGGTTCTGAAATCATTGAAATTTTTCTTCTCTATTGATATATAATCACAGTGATGCCATATTCTCAACTTTTAGCATGGCAGCCATTCTATAATTTTATTGTGGTTTAAGGAAAATGATTGAAATTAAGTTTATAATTATGATAAAGTGCTAGACAGAGACTATGTTTTCAAGGGATTTACTTCCCAAATAGAAGGCAAATATACAGATAATAAGTCAAGAAATAATGAGAAGGTACATCAGTGTCAAGTTATTTCTAAAAGTAGGAAATAGATGCCTCCTTAAAGACACAATAACCAATAAATATATCAGAAAGTGTTCTTCATCACTTATTTTGAAATACAAATCAAAATGACAGTGATCTATTACCTCACAGCAGTGAGAATGACACCCATAAAAATGTATAAACAACTAGTACTGGTGGCTTGTCAGGGAAAAAAATAAACAAACCCATATTTACTCTTCACGATAATGTTTTCTGTTTCAGCCTCTGTGGAGACTTTTCAAAAAATTAAAAATTGAGCTTCCATATGACTCAATGATTTTACTTTTTGGCATCTTTTTCAAGGGCCTAAAAACATTAATTACAAAAAAGACAATTGGGGTTCCAGAAAAAGTACAATGGTTGCAGAGGGCCAATCCAGATTTGATACATGAC